TCAGGCAGGGCTGAATCAGATTTTCTTTGTTCGGAAAGGGAAGTAAAAATTAGTCAAAGTTTTTCAGCAGGTAGTGATATCACAACCCTTAGCAAAAGTTAAGTGCCTTTGAATTAAATGAGTGGGCAACACTTTGGAGATGCTCAAGTAAGTATGTTTGCAATTTACATTAACTTCTCTCCTTAAAATGTTAAGGAAGTGAGTGCTGTTGAGCTTCTATATCCTGAAATAGTTAAATATTTAGTAAGATATTAAATAAAATATTTAGCAAAATATTTTAGTAATTTGCGAATAAACCTTGACATGTGTTGCATGTAATAACTAAGTCTAGATCAAATAGACTTCTGATTTTAATGATCTCTTGTTTCAGTTCACCTACTTTTGGTTGCTAAAGAAACATTTGAGATACATGCTTTGTTTAATAAATATTCTAGAAGACATAACTAAATCATATCCCAACCTCATGCGTGGTTTCAGAGCTGTCCAGTTGTTTTAAAAAGTTGAGAATGTCTTCATAATAGAAAGAAAAGGGTGTTGGAGTGAAATAAGGATTGGTCACCAAATGAATCTGTGTTAGTCTTCGTTCATGCAGACTCTGTTCACTTTGAGCTTAAGGCTGAAAGGAAGGGGTTAGTTTGGATGATGAGAATAAGCATGTTTTTCCTTTGTACATAGAATCAATATAACATGAATCTGGGCTGGTTCAACTCTAAAGATGTACTACACTATCAAGTGTAGTGCCCAGATTTTAGAAAATTGGGTCAGCTGTCTCTTAAAAATGTTCAACTACTAGCATTTTGGAGGTGGCATGCAGGCAACCTGTCAGAATTGGGATTGGATGATGGTAGTGGTGGTGATGATTGTCTGTTCTAGGGGACAGGAATATTACTGACACTTCTAGTTCATTGTAAATACAAACTGAATAGTCATTATGGTATAACTTTATAGAGGATCTTCTTAGCTAGGCAGATAGAACCATCTCTTCTGCAGAAGATGGATTGCCATTAGTATAAGGAAAAAATATGGCCTCTTTTGAAGGAGGGGAAGCATAATTGCTGGATGAGTCTTTAGTTCAGTTTGTGCATTCATGCAGCATTCTCTGGTGTGTTCTGGCTGATATTTAGGCTGATCACAGCATGTGGGGTAGCCCTGGTTGGACTCTGACATTCAAAGCTTGTGTGCTGAATGGTATGGACATTGAATTTAGTACTTTTCTCCTGTGTTTCATAAATCTGCATGATTTTCCCTAAAGGAACAAAGACACCTTGAGGATGAGCGACTAAGTTAGTTTGTTCATTTGTGAATAAGAATCTATAATGTTACTATGGTAACCTGTCTCATGTTACGCAAAATATCTGAAAAATGTGAGAAGGAATGGTACCTTTCCTTTAACTATCTGTGCCAGTAAGCTGAAGAGAAAGTAAAAAATAAACACTTCAGCATTAATGTTTAAACACTGCATCATCTTTACTCAAAGATATCTGTTTGCACAAGGTTTATGGTGGCTCAGAATATAATTTCAAATAGGCACTGCTGACCTTGCGGCTTCCTCCACTCAGTTTCACTACACATACACATTAATGTATCTTGAAAGAAGCAGAAGTGAAGTGGCCCAGAACCATCTCTTTAAAACTGACCTTATAAATCCTGTCCATGTTATAATTCAAAGTCCAGGACTATTTTTGCACAAAACAGCATGCAAGCAAGCACCAAGGTTAACATTCCAGACACGCCCAATCTCCTGTTTCTTCTGGCACTGTACACAGTTTCGCCCTCTCTTTCTGAAGCATTAGATTTGTTTTCTAATATGGTCTACCTTTTTATTTGCCCTTATCTCATACTTAAATCATTTTAGGTTGTTCAAGCCTTGTTTGTGAATGCCAGTATGTATGTTATTCAGGGAGGAAAGTTAGGAAAACTCACCTTTTTGTTTTGGTTTTGGTGTTTTTTCCCCCCTTTTTTATAAGCAGAAGTCTGTAGGCTTCACAGTTCATTATGTCTAAGGGATAACGTTTGTTTATTGTAGGTGGATTCTGTTCTAAAGGTGAAACTACGCAGGCAAAAAAGGAAGGAAGGGAGTTTTATTTTGCATTTCCATGTTCATGTCTGATTCCCATTAATTTTTGTTGTACTGTCTGGAATCCCATAAACCATGGAGGAAACTTAGATGTTGAATGAGCTTACTTGGTCTGCAACAAGGGGTGTTCAGGCTTTGAGAGTGGGACTTTGGGCAAAGAGAGCATTGAAGAATACTTGTATCTTGAATAGAAAGGAGGCTCACCTTTGAAGTCACAGCATCAGAATCTTAACACAACAATTAAGGCAGGTGAACAGTGGATCAATGATGTAGATTCTCAGTTTGTGACAGAAACTCATTTCAAGAGATCAGGCACCTTTGACATCCTCACATTACTGTGAATTATTTTTGCAGTATCTTAACAGAGTGATTGGAAGACAGAATATATTTATGCACTCATAATCAGCTGGCTATTGACAGGAAAGCCAAACATTTAGTGCATAAGACTACTGAAGAGAGTCCCTGAATCTTCTGCTTGACTTACGGTGGAGAAGAATCTCTTTTCTTAAATTTATTTGTGTGGGCTTTGAAGTCACTTTGTTTCCTGTATTAGTGACTTCTCTCCCTCCCTTCCAAAATATAATTTATGCTGCTTTTTTGCTGAAATCTTAAATCAGCAGTATTCCTGGTTTTGTGGCAAGGGGAAGTAAGATCGTTTTCTTCCTACTAAAGAAAAGACTTGACCAGTTCTGGAAAAAGAATTGGGCGGTGTGTTGAGGGCTTGGCCTCTCAGAGAATAAAGCGGGAAAAGTTCTCTTTTGGGCTCAGTGGCTAAGCTAGTATCTGGTATCAGACATCATGTTCATGGTGAGTGCACAGACTTATGCACCTGTGGCTATGCCTGTGTGCCAAAGCTTTTGCTTGGTTTTGCTGCTAGTTCACTAGAATATTTTTGAGGTAGTAGTGGTACTACTGAAGATTTTTCAGCTGCTTAATTTTAGAACAAGGCAAGCATTATACTGAAATCATGTTTGGATGTGTGATTAAATGCATGTAATCAATTGTAGTGGGCTTAGTAGTATGTAGTATTATAATGTTGCTTTATAAAGTAATATTTGAGTGAAATGAATGAATATATTTCCTGTTTGTAAATTATGACCTACGCTGCACAAGGTCTTGGAGAAGAAATAATCAATTTTGATAAAACTGCGTGTATTTTCTTTGGTTGCTCCACAAAGGGAGTTTTATACTATAATAGTGGTTGAAAATGTCAAAGAGCAATGTTGAAGATATTTTTTTACCATGGAAAATGATTGTTGACCTTATTTTGGGCATAGCAGCAGTTCTATCTCCTTAATCCTGCCATTTTATGCCTTCTGACCATGATAGTGAACCACTTAGCGTCTTTACTAATCTTAAAGCTATCTTGTCTGTGAGTTGTCTTGTCTCCTTGCACATTGCTCTCTGAATGAATGGCTGTGTTTGGGCCTTCTCTTTCAGAATGATATAGAAGGAAACAAGGTTCGCATTTCAGTTTTTACCACTGTCCACCATTGTTGGAAGGAATTAGAAGGTCTTCAAAAGACTGATTTGATTTGCCTTGCCACATTATATGTTTTTTTGTAGACAGAAGGAGAAGCAGCACCCTCACTGTTTATAACTGTTTATAACTGTGGTGCATTATTTTATCTGGCAAGTGTTAACCATGACCATGCCTAAGAAAGAGTGCTAGTTGGTTGTCCCAGCCAGAACTGCTGTACAGCCCTTGTTTTTCTGGTCTGCCTGATTTGCATTCCCCATCTATAAAGATGTGGGAACATGAGTCATTTAGAAGAATTAGCAGTGCTGCTCCTCCAAAGGCCATCAGTTAAATTATATACAAGAAATACTGTGAGTTTATGGAGACATGCTTTGGAAGTTTGTAATAATTAAGTAGCAGAGCAGAGCTATTAAAGTTTCATTGCAGGATTTGCATGGAATATAGAGTCTTCCATAGTCTTTGGCTACTTTCATGCATTCATCTTGTCATCTAATCTGAGCTGGGGAACCTGCAGCCCGTGGTCTCTGTGCAGCCCTTGGCCTAATTTCACATAGCCTTCAGTGTCATCTGGATGTTCAGCGGCTTTAGGGCAATCTTGTTCATTGTTTGGCCTCTACCTCTCTGCAAACCACTTTACTGTATCTTCTGTTTTAAGTGTGTTCCTGGTGGTTGAGGCAAAGATGTGACTGCTGCAGAGTGAGACTGGAAAGTAAAGCAATAAGATGGGAAGAGTGAGGGAAGAGATGCCTGGGGTGGCACCCAGAGAAAGGGAACATGTTTTGTAATCTTGTAAATTCTCTTTACTTATGACTGTAGCCATGCCCAGTGTTGGCTTCAAGTTTCTGCACAGTTGACTTTTCCCATGGACCGTTGTTCCTTGATAATGCTGACTGAAAATGGTTAAATAGTTTGATAGACTCTCCAGCCCAGTCCTGGCATTAGCCTCCTTTACGACAGATATTGGTGTAATAGGTTAATTTAAACTGTCCTATAGTCAAATACTAGGGGATTGGTAAACACATTTGTACTCGTATACAGTTTTCTCTTACTGCATGGTTGAGAGCTGAATTACGTTTAAGGTAAAAGCTTTGCAATTTTGATGCAAATGATTGCTATGCATCTAGGGCCTCAGGAGACCCAACAGCTGACTTGTTCAGTTTAACTATTTGGAAAGCAGTACTCCATCAAAGCATGGCTTTATAGTTTATAAGCATCAATGACCTACCTGTCTGCATGGGTGTTTAATGCTGTGGTATGGTAGGAGGAAGTCTTTCAATATCTGAAAGCTCACTTTATCTGTGATTCAGGAGAGAGGGATGCACAGTTCAAGTAATAGCAAAACATGCCATCTCATGCTCCTCTTTAAGTTCTTTGACTATTCTAATTCTCTGAGACACCCAAGTGGGTGTCAGCTGACAGTGTGTAAAATTATTTTCTCCCCAGGCACTTGCTGCCAATGCCGGTACTGGCTTTGCTGTGGCGGAGCCGCAAGTTGCTATGTTCTGTGGAAAGCTAAACATGCATGTGAACATCCAGACTGGAAAATGGGAGCCTGATCCTTCTGGGAGCAAAAGCTGCTTTGGAAGGAAGGAAGAGATTCTGCAATACTGCCAAGAAGTAAGTGCCGTTTCTTTGCAGTTACTTTATCACCCTTTAGAAGTCAGTGACTCATAATTTCAGCTAAAACGTCTCTGGTACAGTACTGTCCCCCAAACATTTCCCTCAAATACTTTCTATTGATGTAAACAGGAATTAATTCTGCAAATTTAATTACCTTGCCCGTGAAAGACCATGAGCAGGAGATTTGTTTTGCATTTGACTGTTAATCTTCAGCATTTGGGTGCAGCGCAGCATCTTTTGCAATTTTAGCTATACTAGAGTATTTGGAATGATATAACGTTGTTGCACATCTGTTGGGATGCAGACTATTTGTCTGGGTTCATGGGGTGATCAACAGTAGTTCCCACGTTATGTAGGGAACTAAGAAACAGCAGCTGTTCCCAGCTCTGCCTTTTGACCTGAAAGGTTAAGATGGAAGTGCAGCTGTTACGCTCTCGCTTCCTGTGTTTGACCTAGCTGTCAGCCAGTCATATCGAGTAACACCCACACCAAAGCCAGCGCCTTCAGCTAAGCAGTGCCAAGCACCTTGGGTAATGACACAGTAGAAGCAGTGTTTCAGCTTCTCTGGGATGCTGCATTAGTAGAAATAATGCAGTAGCTTATCAGTCATTCAGAAAACTTTAAGCATATGCATATGTCATGCATGAACCTGTATGCATTGAAAGCCAAGTGTTGGTATAGTAGCACTATTAATTTTGAACTGGAGACATTCTCTTCAAAGGTTAATGCAAACATCCTTGGGTTTTTTTTTAAATAAATGCCCATGTTTTTCTACAAACATTTTCATTAGTTGTGAGAGCCAGCATGGTCTGGTGGAAAGAGTATTAGATGTGAGTTCATATCTTCACGTGGCTGTGGCAACTCACATGCAAGTGACAGTGGTATGCTGCTCCTTGGAACATATCAAATACCTCACTAAACACATTAGAGTCATCATATGTTGGAGGCAGCTTGATAGCACATAACACCACATTTGTACAAGCCCTATACCTTTTCAAGGATCCTGAATCAGTTACCTTCAGCCTCAGTCTATCTTTGGTGCATAATACAGTCTATTGAACTGGTTTATGTGCAGTACCAAAAGAGGCTCATTTTGAGAGCTAGCAAAGTGTAATGCCCCTGTTCAGATGTAACATAATTTCTCTCTGTATAGCAATTACCCATTAAATCAGCACATGTTTTATTCATATGATTTTCAGATAAAAGTGATTTAGTATTGTTTGTGAAATAAACCATTGTTGATCTAGTTTCTGATCAAATATGAACACTTTATGTACTTCAGAGAGTCTTTTCTTTTTTAAAGTTACTCTTCTGTCTATCTTGTGGCAAGAATGTATCAGTTTTCAGTGTATTTAGTGGTGTTTTTCTTCTTTTTTTTTTGAAACACAGATCTATCCAGAGCTTCAGATCACAAACGTGGTGGAAGCCAACCAACCAGTCAATATTGAAAATTGGTGTAAAAAGGGCAAGAAGCAGTGCAAGGGCCATACTCATATTGTTGTTCCTTTCAAGTGTCTTGGTAAGTGATTGTGGTAATATATTTAATTTTATTATTTGCATGCAAAATTCTCATAGTGGCATTTGAGGCACATACTTGTCGTAACATTACAGTTCCTTTTACTATCAAAAGTCTCAGTATCAATCAGTCTATAAATTGCATTTTTTATTTTCTTAATCTGACATGATTCCAGTGCCTGTATTAAAGCTGATGGAGTGACATTCATTTTGGTTTCTGATTAAACTGAGTATTTATGTAGCTGATTGTTACCTCCACTAAATCTTTAGCAGGAGACAAACTGGAAGCTACACTGCAGTGCAATGCACTTTGTTAGCAATTAACTGTTCTGATAAGAGCAATCTACATTACGAGGAATAGCAATCTTCTATTTGAATAAAAAGCTTTTTTCTAGTATATTTATGACAGTTTAACTCAGAAAAGTCAAACCTCAGTTTGGAGTTGTGAATCTCAAGTTAGATGTTTCTAATCTTGATTTTGGCAAGATTGCTCCAGTTTGGCTTTAGCATATTTTTACCTGGCTATTTCATATGGCCTGTTGTTGAAAGCTAAAAACCTAAAGACTCAAATTCAAGAGAGTAGCAGACATGATTTAAAAAAAAGTCTTTGCCTACAGGAAGAATTGCACTTATCTACAGCAGAGCTCTTAGCTTTCTACTTCAATCAATTCTTGTTGGGTGTAGAGACACTCCAGTATGAGCATAAATTTTTCCACTAGTTTTTGTCTGAGTACTTGCAGTTGGCTTGATAATCTTGACAAGCAGTTGGTGCTAATGAGACGATAAAAAGTAATTTCTTACGTAACAGTGGCTGGAGTCCTGTTGTTCAGCTCCACATTCATAACTTGAAGCTACTGTGTTTTCCCGAAAATAGGAAAGGGTCTTATATTAATTTTTGCTCCAAAAATGCATCAGGGCTTATTTTCAGGGGATGTTTTATTTTTCATGTACAACAATCTACATTTATTCAAATACAGTCATGTCATCTTCCTCTGATTGCTACACAGTGTTGAAGGGTGCGGTTTCACTTAACTGGGGCTTATTTGGGGGGGGGTAGGGCATATATTACAAGCATCCTGAAAAAAGGGGAAACAAGGTACACAAGAGGTGGTTAAGTCTTATTTTTGGGGAAACAAGGTACACAAGAGGAAGCAGAAATCATGCCAAGGTAGAAGTCATATTTAAGAAGCAGTTCTGCAGGCTTGTTGTATAAACTAGTTATTTGGTCAATTGTGTACAATAAATTGGTAAATGTTGTTTGTCTGGGTATAGTATTGTGTAATCATCCACATGTGTACTTTTATGCTACACCAAGTACTACAGAATTTCAGCCAATAGTTCATCTTATGCATTGGTGGTTTCTTTAAGTGGACCTGAATGGAGTTGTGTGAAGTCTCAGATAAGGAAAGAGTAACTCCAATAGTGGGTTTATGGTGGATATGATTGGTCTTTGCAGGATTTCCAAGCAGTTCAAGAACATAAAGCTTAGCATGTAACCTCATTAATGGATTAGGTTTCTCTGCCCTTGTAATAGAGAGGGTAAGATGGATAAGACCCTGCTTATCAGTCATACTATAATAGAACTAAAATATCATCCTTCATCATTCTGTGTTGTAGAGCAGATTACTGCACATAAATTTTTACCAGCCTGGGAAGCCCTGTGGGAACGTATATTGTTAATTCTGTATTATGAAGGCAGAAAACCAGCTGAAGAAACATTATGCTTGCATGCATTGACAGCATCAACATAGGTTGGGTTCCATAGTCTTAAGAGGTTTTGTATACCGTCTTTGTGCTAATGTCAGCTTTGAGGAAGGATTAAAAGGAGCTCATGCTCCACCGAGTTTTGGAATCTGAGATATACAACGTAGCGTAGGTTTTTTTTTAATTTAAAAAAACCCTCACGTTACACACCTGTACATATCCTCTACATATACCTACATAGACGCACAAATACAAGCTAGTCACTGGGAGATACTATGTGAAGACAGGTTCACTCATTGCACAATTCACTCATTATAGTGAGAGTTTTTCCCCATTTCATAAATCACAAACATATTCCAGAGCTGGGCTGGTTTGAAAGCAGGGAACTTAAGATCCAGTTTTGATGAAAGTGAATGTACGTTATGGGAAGCTGTGAAGTGCTGGGCAGAAAAAAGATAATTGTCATACCTTGCGGCAGCAGAGTTGTTATATAGTTCCAGAGGTGGAAGCCTATTGTGAATAGGTGAGCTGTGCCAATAGAAAGTATGATTTCTCTTCAGTCAAAGCACTTATTGTGCTGATGAAAACAATGCCGTACTGTGATCTTGCTACCTTAGTCTTTTTGACAGGATTTCAGCTGCTGAGGGAAACTTAACCTTGTCCTCGTTGGAGGTGGATTTGCTTTCCTTTTTCTTATGTTAGGAATGAGATACAGTTAGCCCTCTTTCTGAACTGTAAATATGCCATAGAATAGGCTGGATGATGGAAATCAGAGCAGAGCTAGTTGGTGAAGTAGAAGGCACAATGGACTGCTTGGCTAAGTCCTTGTATAACATGAAAATGGCTCGTCAGTTTGACTTAAATGTGAAGTATTAATACTGCTAGCAATGATTTTGAGTGAGGGCCAGACATATGGCAGCTTTGAAACTTCAATAGAAACTATCAGAGATAGAATAAGGTGCACTAGAGCTACAATTCATGTATGTCCATATAAAACAAAGTTGGCTTATGTTGTGTTTTACTCCTGTGCATTAGTATTGTGGAGAAACACTTCTGAGAGTTTTTTTAGTGTCTTATAAGCCAAGTGTGCAAATACAACTTTATTTGACTGAATTATTGGAAGACTTAGATTTAACTTTGATATCAAGACAGAGCCAACTTTGCAACTGTTCAGAGTTAGCAACGAATTATTTTGGTAAAACTATAGTGGCAAGTACTTTGGAGCTGCTGGCAGAGAAATCTTTGCGCCTGAGCAGTTCATTACCATTGACTTGTTTGTTAAAGTTAATATGAACACCAGGCTCCAAAGTCTCCTAGTTTGAAAGAAAATAGTGACACAGCAAACTAGGCAAGTCCTAAAAGAAATGGGAGTGCCTCACCACCTTATCTATCTCCTGAGAAACCTATATGTGGGACAGGAAGCAACAGTTAGAACTGGATATGGAACAACTGATTGGTTCAAAATTGGGAAAGGAGTACGACAAGGCTGTATATTGTCCCCCAGCTTATTTAATTTATATGCAGAATGCATCATGTGAAAGGCTGGACTGGAGCAATCCCAAACCAGAATTAAGATTTCTTGAAGAAATATCAACATCCGCAGATATGCAGATGATACCACTCTGATGGCAGAAAGTGAGGAGGAATTAAAGAACCTTGTAATGTGGGTGAAAGAGGAGAGTGCAAAAAACGGCCTGAAACTCAACATCAAAAAAACTAAGATCATGGCCACTGGTCCCATCACCTCCTGGGAAATAGAAGGGGAAGATATGGAGGCAGTGACAGATTTTATTTTCTTGGGCTCCATAATCACTGCAGATGGAGATAGCAGTCACAAAATTAAAAGACACCTGCTTCTTGGGAGGAAAGTGATGAAAAATCTTGACAGCATCTTAAAAAGCAGAGACATCACCTTGCCAACAAAAGTCCGAATAGTCAAAGCTATGGTTTTTCCTGTTGTGATGTATGGAAGTGATAGCTGGACCATAAAGAAAGCAGACCGCCGAAGAGGAGGGCCTGCCGTGCTCTGGTCCATGGGGTCACGAAGAGTCAGACACGACTAAATGACTAAATGATGATGAGTGACACAGATAGTTAAGCTTTTGTCTGTTTTATGCAATGGAACTGATTTTAATACCTTTTTTTTGCTAAATATGTTGAGAGGCAGACATTGAAGGTGAATTCTGTGGCACATTGCTGGTTGACTTACTGATATACTTTATTCTCATTTAAACTTTTGATATATTTTGCATAACAATTGTTATACTGTATGGTATTAGAGTTGGCTTTTGTGATGTTACTGTATTTAAAATGTCTATTACATTGCCAGTCTGAGCAGAATTCTTATGGGAAATGTGGGGTGTGACCTCCCTACTTCCTTTTTAAAAGAATCCACCTATCTAATATAAACATTGTTAGAACTAGTACAGCTTTTTAAAAACTTTACTTTCTCTTTCTTCCTTTCTTCCCTTTCTTGTTACATTTAGCAATCTCTTTCCTTCTCTTTTTCTTGATGTATTTAAGAACCAGTGTAGAAGATGAATTCTGTACGTGGTATAGTTCTTTGAAACAGCATTTGTGAAATTGTCCAGTGTATTTATTACTAGTTGCTCATGGCTGGTAAACTATCTTTCAACATCATGTTTTCTATAAAAATTAAATATCTCAGTCTGTTCAGCTTCAGTCATTTAAAAATACTATTTATTTATTTATTTATATATTTATTCATTCATGTATTCATTTATTTATTCATTCATTCATTCATTCATTCATTCATTCATTCTTTAAAAAAAAACACTTGCAAGAAAAGAGATCAGTGCCACCCCACCAGACTTCTGATTCCGTTTATACCTTTTCTTATCTGCCTTGGATTTTTGAAGCATAAGAGAATTTGTGCAGAACAAATGATCGGTGGGTGGTACCTTTCCCAAGGCAATGGATAATTGCAGAAATTTATTCAATATAGATTTTATTCACATTGTATGACTG